AACCATACTGTAATACCAGGTATTTTAACATCTGATTCATCATCAGGTTCATTAGTGTTTGATATAGATTCAAAATGTAAATAAATTTGTTGATGTGGATCGAATTTTTTTCTTAAATCAAATCGTTTTCTATACCAATAGGAAACACATGTTGAAGTAAATTTTTGGGTTTTTTTCTCATCATAATGTGGCAATTGAATATGTTCCCAATCGTCATCATCATATGTTAATGAAATATAATCTTTATCATATGGAGACATATTTGTTAAACGTATACATCGCCAATCATTATCAATATTAATAGCAGTTGTTGAATCCTTATCATTAAGATTTACCATGTCTATATTTTTTTTATTTAAAAACATAAATATATATATATATATCTAAAAATGAAAAGATTTATTCTTATTTTATATTGATAAACTACGTCAAGAATAGTTTTAATATAAATAATACTGCTTACTCTTTGCTCTTTAAATATCTATAATAAAGAAAGCACTGGATTGTAACGTAAATAACAATTTCTTCTTTTTTTTCATTTTATTATTGCCACTTTTCATTTTTTGTTCTTGTCGTTGCTATATGGAGGTACACATTCTTTGTGATCAAGCAACGAACGATTATATAAACGATAGAGAATTCAAAGTAAATATTTCTATAGAACAAAAGACTTTTCGACTACTCATCTGAACTTCTTGCCCTCTGTAACGCATCTAACAGAATTGAAATAAAATTCATCCGAAAAACACAATATGTAGGCGGTTAATATTACCATGACTCAATTTCATCTGAAATTATTCATTGTAAAAGTTTATTATGATTCAAAATGTCTCATTCATACTGTTGACATGAAAACGTGATTCGTTTTACGATTCGTCATAATCGTATATTTACTTTAATCATATAAATGTAAAAACCTATAATCAAGATCAAATCTTTCGTTTCTTCTCCTCGATATAGAATGAAAACTAATTAAAAACAGCTGTAAATCACTATTTAAATGATCAACATGAATATTTTAACGATAAATCTGTTGCTATCTATGATAATGAACTAAATAAGTGTTGCACTCTCCTAATTGCACTAGAAGAAAAAGAAGGAAATAAACAAAATTTATTTATTGTTCTTAAATTATTCTTAGCCAATAGAAACAAAAGAAAATTTAACTATTGCTTATCAAATTCTCAGCATAATGTCTGACAAAACAATATTGATTCAATAAACTATATTTGCTAATATTAGCATTAAAAAATTCAAATAATCTTGATTAAATACGATATCTTTTTACTTTATGAATGTAATAAAAAAAAATTCTTTTGATTTTATAAGTATTGTTATGATCATAATTCAATAGTTCCTGTACATTATTTTAACAATTTATTTTATTTTTATTTCTAGTAAAAAATATATATTGTTCAAAGTATTTTTAATATTTATTAAATTTCAAAATTGAAATCATTTTTATCTGCACATTAAATTAGATGAGACACAAAACAAAACAACAAATGTAAAATGTTTTTCTACCAATGGATATCATAATACCACGACAGGAAAAGGAAAGGACCAGAATAAATTAATGATGTGATGCTGAATGACTACGTTGCCGTTGAAATATATTTTTTTTTATTTTTCGTTCTTTTTTCTTTGTTTTTTGAGAATCTTCACTGTCATTTATTGATGAAGACGATCTTGAACTATGTTCATATTTGATTCGTTCGAATTCAGTTAATATTTGTTTGCATACATCTGTTCGTAAACCAGATTCTAATGATGCACGACCTTCAGGTGATGCGCCAGAATTCATTAATTGTGATCCGGATGATGATCGTCGATGTCCTGCTGGAGTTAATATTGATACACGTTCTTTTGGATTGGTATCTTTCGTACTTGAAAATTGTTTAGCTTCAGCATAAATACCTCGACCTAACCAAGTTAATGAAGCAAGAGTACCAACAACTGGTTTAATAACAATATTTGGTATAGCAACAGCTGCACCTGCTGCTCCACCTAAAACACCATGTTTTTGATAACCTGCTCGAGGTTTATTTATAAGTCCTGTAACACCATCTTTAAATCCATGCCATATAGAATGTTCAGCAGCTCGTGCACCAGATGTAAAATTTTCTACTTGTGGTCTTTTACGTTTATCTGTATCTGAATATGGATCATACATTTGTGGTATACGTTCAAGTACATCGGTTACTTCACCATAAAATGATAAACAACCAATATATACATGTCCAATACTTTTTCCTACACCTTTAACAATACTTTCTGCACCATCAAGTGTACCTGTTGTGAAACTATCTGAACCAGCTGCTCGTCTTAATCCTTGCGCAGTATCAATAAATAAACTTGTAAATGCTTTCTGTCCATGTTTTAATAAACCATGTACTGGTAAATGTGGACGACTATCATACATTGATGCACGCCAATCTCGTGTTGGAAGTACTGTTAATTCAGATTCATTAATAGATCCAGCACTAAGAAGTACTTGAGCAACTGGACGTGATATTTGTAAATCATATTTATCTAATCGAAAACATGCTCCAAATGATGGTTCGAGATCACTACGCATTTTATGTAATGGTAAATGTGCGTGGAATGATTGAACAGCAGCTTGACAACCATTTTCATGTTCGAATGCATCACGTAATTTATTAGCAGCTTCACGTGTACCTGCTTCATGTGCTATTTTAAATGCTTCGATTAAATCATTTGAATTTAAACGTTTGCCTGGAATAGGTTCAGGACCAGCATCACTTTTACTAATCATTG